ATGCTTCTTGTAGTTCTTCAAAACTAAAAGGATCGTTAGAAGAACTTACCTCTTCGGATTCACTTTGAGCCATAAGACAAATGGCTACTTCATCATCGGATGAGGAAGAGGAACTAGAGTTGGATTGCTTTCGACGTTTGGACTTCTTGATTTTTCGATGAGGGCAATGACCCTTGATATGTCCACGCTCTCCACATCCATAGCAAGTAGGCTTTCTACTCTCATTCAATTGCTCAAGCTCATTTTGTAAGAAGTCATTAAATAACTTGAGAATGTCACTTTCTCCAGAGCCGCTTGTCTTGACATATTTTGACGATGAAGCTTTGAGTGCAACTCCTTTGAATGATAGATTTTGATCCCTTTTGATCTCCGCTGCACTAGAAAAGTTAGACATTTCATAAGTGAGTAGTTTACCTCGAAGTGCTTCATATGTCAACGTATTGTAATCTCGGCCTTCTTTGATAGGATTGACCGTAGACTTCCATTCCGGTGTGAGACTTCGAAGGATTTTTCGAACGAGAACATGATCCTCATAATGCTTCCCAAGTTTATCCAAATTTGAGACGATAGTTGAAAATCTCTCGAACATGCCATCTATTGTTTCATTTTCCATCATCATGAAAAGCTCATACTCATGGGTGAGTAAGTCGATCTTTGAGTCCTTCACTTTACTTGTTCCTTCATATGTGACCTCTAATTTACTCCACATCTCATTCGCCGTCTTACACCTTGAGATTTTCCGATAGTCATCCGGGTTCACGGCACAATATAGAAAGTTGATGGCCCTTGCATTTAGTGGCATCTTCTTCTTGTCATTTGAGGTATATTCGGTCTCTAACTTTGGAACAAGAACCCCGTTAACAATCTTTGTGGGAACCATCTCTCCATGCTTGATCACCAACCAAGAATCATAATCATTTGATTGGATGAATATTCTCATCCTCTCTTTCCAATAAGCATAATTTGTGCCGTCGAAGAGTGGTGGCCTTGTCGTGGATTGTCCTTCGGAAACTCCGGGTTGAAATGTTCTTCCGGCCATGATCTTTTTAAATTTTCAGCGGTAAAGCTTTGAAAATCCCTCGCTCTGATACCAATTGTTAGACACCTCGCACACCTCTAGAGGGGGGGGTGAATAGAGGTGTTGCCCAAAAGACCAGTTTTTTGCGCGGAAACGTTCTTCACGAATATTCAATAAAAACAATGCACCACAAACAAATAAAGTGAAGGATAAGAGCAATGCACACACGATATATACTGGTTCGGCCTAATGCCTACATCCAGTCCCCGAAGCAATCGTGCCCAGGCCTTCACTAACCCGTCAAACTTAACGGAGTTTGACAATCCGAATACAACTCGAGAACTTGATTTCACAAGCCTCTTATCTTACCACCGAAGTTTTGATTTCACAAAACTCAGGATTTCTTCCACCTAACGTTTGATTTCACAAACCGTTAGGATTTCTACCACTTGGTGTAATCCCAACACCAAGAATACAAATCCCTTACAATAAAGTAAGAAAACAAACCGCAACCGAGTAATTCTCCCAACACGGAGTAGATTGTTGCAAATACAATGAAGTCCTTTAGAATATGGCAATATCTCTCAAAGACTCAAGCAATGAGGAAAAACTCAAGCAAGAAATGATTTAGCAATCAAAACAATTGCCTTGCTTGGATATAAGGAGGGGATTGAGT